ACCCTTTAAGGTATCAATGTGTAACTTTCCCTGAATCACTTTCAAACAGCCTAATAACTCCCAAACAACATAATCTAGCATTAACTGGTTTCCTGAGCAGAAGTGTTTAGAGATTACCATAGCCACTCCTAGTCCTAAAGATAATCAATCACACTGATAAATATTTTTGAAAAAAGGCTACAGTGTTGGTTTCATTGGAATGTACTGTTTGTTTCAGGACGTTCTATCCTCTTACTAAAGGCTTTCCTGGGTTGGAAAGCTGAGCTCATTAGGTAATTTCCTAAGGAGGAAATATCCTCCAACCTATAAAAATGCTCAATTTTCTTGTATGTTTATTATTAAAAAATAACATTCTAGGGATTTTTCCACAGGAGAAAAGTTTATCGATAAAAGATAAAATCAAAGCAAAATTTAACCCAATTCTATTTCGCTTATATGATTTCAATCCTTTAACATAATTTTAGTATGATCTAACTTTCACTAAGTAGCTTAACCTATGGCAAGTCATTAAACCTTTGTGTCTTAGTCCATCTAAAAAATGGACAAAATTATTTGTACCTACTTAACTCATGATAACTTATAAGATTTAATAGGACTGTACTCATAAAGTATACCACTCAAGTACTACTTCAATGTTTCATTTTGGTATGGAGAGAATCCTATGTTTTTGAAGGCTATTGCCAGGAGAGCTCAAATTCTGGAAGATTTTTATCAAGCTAAAAGTCTTCAAATAAAGGCTTAATGGCAGGTTCTATGTCTTTTCTGAGGACCAGCTTAAGTAACAGAGAATCCTGAACTGAAGTTTTGATGCCAGCTAATGATGTTTTGACCACAGAAACAAAAACACAAGGAAAGGAATGAAATTTGAGTCAGTGGATGGAGTACTGATTCAGATACTTGAATTAGTGAGGTAAGTATATTTATAAGGCCCTTAAATTTCATAGTTATATCAAATACAAAATATGCCATTTTTTATGAAAAAATATTTAAAATCAACATTTATGACTTTTAAGTTAAAAAATAACTTTAAACAGCTTGATTTTTTTAAGTATAAAAGTTAAACAGTATCAGGCTATTACTATAATCATAAGGAAAGGAACTAACAGGTGTCAATATATATGTGCTGTACCCTGGGGCATAACTGATGAAAAAATTCTTTTTGATAATGGAACATTGAATTAACTCCCTCAAGAGCATATCATATATCTTTAGTAATCCATAGCTATGCCTCCATAAATAAGTTACATAATATCCATAATATTATGTAATACCAATAATATCACAGCCATAGAGATTGTCTCTCCAGCAATCACCTCATAAATACTGAGTATTTTGTGAATAGGGGGCCTCCATCAGGGCCTAACCCAGAGGTGGTAGAGATGGCAGCAGTGATGATGATGATGATGATGGCAGCTTTTTCTTCCTCTTCCACTAGCATTTCAACTAGAACTTGAAGCAAAAACTTGAAGCTGTAGCAATAGAGTAGCCAAATTAAGACAGTATACTAAATTTATTCTTTGCATAAGAATATTTTGATCTATCCTAACTAATATAAAAATGTAAAGTATCAATGTGAACTTTATCTCAGAGTAAAACTTATTTAACCTCTTAAATGAGAGAGCTAAAACCTATCATGTGAAAATTAAGAAATAACAAAAAGAAAAGAAGCCTAAGCTTTAAAGAAAAGGCCAGAGGGAATAAGATGGAAATGTGGTACAAAAGCAATCTCACAAATCAGGTTAAATGTTCATTAGTTTTTCCTGGATTAAGAAAAGTATTTAGATGCTATCCTGCTTCTCCAGCTTATTCTAACAAAGATTAATATGGCCACCTAGAGGAGAAAAACATAATAATCAGACATACTACGATGTTTTCTAATTTTTTCAGACTATCTGTAACACAGATTCAGATTTCTATCTTACAAATGAGAAATAAACATTTCCTGTAATTTCAAGCTATGTAATCAGAAAAATCAGCCATCCATCATCATTATATATCTATATATGCATATGTATGTGCATATGCATAGATACATATATATACATAAATACAAATAAAAACTTTTTATGGTGATACCATATGGCTGTGAATCATGGAATACCCAATTTCTAAAGAATCAAAATTACAGGTTACACAAAGGTCAATGGAGATATACGTGGTAGGCATAAGCTTATTACCTTCAAAGAATTGTGTGCAAGAAATTGTGTAAAAGATATAAAAAAAGAGATGTAGAAGGCAGAACAATCATATAACAAACTGAGGGATAACAAAAAGACTCTTCCATTCCAGTAGTATCATACTATAATTTCCAGATAGAACTTCTATGGAGGAATTACATTAGGAAGAAATGGTCAAGAGTCATAGAGGATGAGCACAGGAAGTGTGATTTGAATTGTTGGTGTGGATACCCTCATTGATAAGATCATAGCCATCTATAAAAGCTCTAATAAATCATGTAAATATTGTAGCTTTGTTCCTCACATTCAAATATTATACTGCCAGACACGAGAAGAAGGGAAAAGGACTTCAAATGGCCTCAGATTTTTCAGTGAAGTATTAGAGAAGGTCCAAAGCTGGGAGAGCTAGGAAAGAAGTGACATGAGAGACTTGAAGAGGGATGAAAAGATTTAGAATAGCCTCTGTGCTGAGAGGGATAGCAAATCACCTATAAAAAATTGCCTTCTGCAGAGAGGGCTCAGTTGAGATTCATAAATTTGTAATGGACTTCCAATCACACACTTTGTGATTTTTTTCCATCTCTGTTTGTGTATAGAAGCAAACAAAGGTGGCAGATAACAGAAGTAATTCAAGGTTGGATTTTGGCAAGTGGTCAAGGTCAACAGGACAAGTGGTCAAGAGTTTCAAGCATAAGTGATAATGAATGGTTGAACTGATTCATCAAGGGATTGAGAAAAGGAAGGGAGGAAAATGTAGCCAGTGAAGGAGTGATGGCCTATGAAAGAACTAAGGAGTAGTGGGATTGGAAATTGTCATAAAGATGCAGAAAACGGTTAAGGGTAGGGTAAGGCAGAGGGAAAGATGGAATGATAAAAGACTATGATCAGATCAAGACACTTCAGAATTCATGACATGGAAATAGAACATTGCATGATGGCAAGATCAGGAGTATGACCATCTCTGTGTGTGGCTGGCATAAAATGGAAGCATAGGTTATAGGAACTAAGTAGACTAAGAACTGAGATTTTAGAGTATTTGAGGGAGTATCAATATGTATGCTGAAGTTCCCTAGTATAAAGGCAGGAGTTAAGATATACTGAAAATGAAAGAGAATGTTCTGGGGGGTCAGTAGATAAGAACAACCAGAATCTTGATGAGGCAATACATATGGATTGAACGATCCTTAAAGGAGGAAAGGCTACTGAGTGACAGTGGTAGAAAGTTTAGAAATGGCAATGGGGAACAAGAAGTATTCTTACTTCCCCACCACATCCAGTGAGTTAAGTGCAAACAATACTAGAAAGGGTGGTCAGGGACAAAATGTCAATGAGAGGGAGCTACATCTTAGTGAGATTCAGAAGAGGGAGAAAGTAAAAAAGCAAAAAGCTTATGATGATGTCAAGTTTATTAATTATAGAAAGAGAGCACAATGGGCAAGACAGGCAGATATGGAATGGGACATTGTACGGGTGGGGTGAGGGTTAAGGGATTAGGATTAAGGAAATGGGTCATGGGGGATAACTTTTGTACAATGACAGCAAGGGGTTCAGAATCACTGGAAGGGGGAGAATATAAAGGACAGGAGTATGCTAACCACTAGATATGAATTCAGGCAGATTACCAATGCTTAGAGAGAGGTCTCTTGAGGGAGGGAGATGATTAGACCTTTCTGTTCACAGCCTTTCTGTTAAGTTTAGACTAATAGCAGGTAGTAATGTATCCTGTGAGGCCCAGGAGGCCACCTCAGAGCAGAAAAGGTTAGGCAAAGATATGACTAAGGGAAGTCCATACAGGAGGCAGGGGTTGGCAATCTGAGGTGATTCTGGTCCAGGAATAACTGGGAGGTGGACGGTCTAGATCAGGGCTTCTTAAACTTTTTTCTACTCATGACTCCTTTTCATGTTTCAACAGCATTTGGTGGTGGTGCACGGCCTGAAGGCACACACAGTGCAAAGTGCGCATGCTTTGTGTTCAGAACGAAGGCTGCAGTGAAGCTGAATGATGCAACATAGGCAAGTGCTGCCAGAAACACCTCAGATTCATTACACGTTTGATTTTTAATTAATTTTTGGTCACGGCATGTCCAGAAATCTTTTACTGCTGCCAAATTTTTCACAACCCCACATGGGGTCATGACCCACAGTTTAAGAAACACTGGATCAGAGCTAATCCAGTCCTCATAGGGTCATTGGGATGACCCTGGACAAAGAGGCTAGAGATAGGTGCCCTAGATCGAGTGCTGATGCAGGACTCTCTGAGAAAGCCCTGGAGGGAAAATCTCTTAAATTATTCACTACATGTAATTTTCTGATGTTAGCTCACCATACAATAGCTACTTGATCACCTAATAGAATTGTGTCACAAGTATTACTTAGCTATCAACCAACTAGACATTTCAAGACTTTGATACTAGTGCCCTATATTATAATTAAAGTAACCTATTTTAAAAGCATCTACTTAGATTTGACATCCATAAATGGTTCCTAAATGGCTCACAAATATACCAAAAACTAACTAGAAATCACTATGTAGTATGGATTCTGATATCATATTAACATCATACATTGGCACCAGCAAGCATTTTCAGACATGGCCAATATGGAATTTTCACATGCATATGTTACCAAGGTTAAGAGGGAAAGAAAATAAATATTGACTAGTGAAAAAATAAAAATAAAGAAAGAAATGTCAAATTATTTCTCATCTTTTTTATGGTCCACAAAGAACTGCCTAAGAATTTAGGGAAAACCTATATACTCCTATAATACACATTGCAAATTATAAAACTACATTCAATTCATTGAAAAAAATTTCCATCTTACCTTCATCTATTGATGCTTCACTACTATATCCATCATACTCTGCAGACAGAGGACTATATTTTTGTCTGGTCTCCCAAACATAATTCTTTTGTCTTCCACCTGCTATTGACAGCCTGGAATTGTGTGTCCTGGACAATGCTTCATGGTATTTACCCAGTGCTTCATCTTCACTTTCAGAGGATGAACCATGCTGATCTTTATCCATGTATGTATTATCTATTTTGAACAAATGGTGGTAGAAAATTATAACTTCCATGTAAAAAGGGTCACAAATTAATGAAAGCACTTTGATTTATCCTGAATTTAAGTACTTTTTAGAAACATCAATTTTTTAAATATGAAGGCAGATTTCACATTAAAAAAATTCATACCAAAAAAGATTGCTTTAGTTCCTATTTACTATACTAAAAATTCTGATTATAGCATTTTTCAGGAAATTATAGTGCTTAGAGTAGGGTGAGATATCATCTTATTCTCATTTCATGGACCTAAAACCACCCTAGTTGGTTTAATTATCTAGGGTTACCATCTTTTATAACTTTCACATCAGCAACATGATCTCTTAAGAACTCTATACCAGTCCTAAATGTTAGGCCTATCAGGATAATACAAGTAAAATAGCTGCCAGGCAGCAAATAGCAGGTTAAAAAATTATTCAGCACACACAAGGTACACTGGAGTTTTCTTTTTTTGGTGCATTGCCTTCCAATACAATTAACCAAAATCTGTGCTTTTTGTTAACTGTATATGTGTTACTAATGCTATGGGATAAAGCATCCCATTTCCTTAATTCTCCAACTGAAATGAAACCCAGACATTCCAGTTTCTTTTTTTTTTCCACTTTAAGCAATAATCTTAAGGCTGCTGAAATTAGCCATGGACTTCAAACTAAACCATACAAAATTTTAAATTCAGGAAACTACTGTAAGAACATTCTCTAAAAGTAAATCTATTCCTCTAGATCTGGAATTCCTTCTTAGTTAAATGGGTTTGTACTATTTTAGCAACCAGTGTTTCACTTTAGAATCATATTTAAAAGTTCAATAAACATTTATTAAGAACCTACTATATGCAAGGCAAATGATTAAGCACCACTTTGTGCTATGGATATTCATAATTTTAAAAGCTAACAATGATAATAATTTTAAGGTTAGGAAGCTCTTTACCCACAGTGTCTCATTTAATCATCACAACCTTCCTGGGAGGTGCAAATTATTATCCCCAGAAACATAGAAGGAAACTAAAGCTGAGTTTACATGACCTGCCCAGTATTATAAAGCTAGAAAATGAGGTGAGATATGAAGCCAAAATACAAAAACAGATATGACACAAGCCCTGCTCTCAACAAACTTACAATTTTTTTTATCATCAGGGAACGATACATACACAAATAACTATAATGCAAAAAAAAGTATAAAGGTTAAATGCAGGCAAGTACTACAAAACATTTAAGGGAATTATATTCTAGTGGGAAAATAATCAGTAAGTACAGATAAATGTAACAAAATTACATGTAAATGTAATAAAATAAATATATAACAGTTGGAAATTCTATAAAGTCAGATGAGAAAGAAACTACTTTCAACTTGGGGTTTGAGGGAAAGCTTCATGTATTTCTACCAAACATGAACCATAAAACTTCCTCAATATATGGCTAAATGAGTGAACTACATGGTTTTGAATATATTAATTGGCAAAAATATATATATATATATGTTTTTATTTGACTAAAGAAATTTTTACACTAAACATAGTTTCTGAATAATTCTGACCAAGATCAGCACTATATTGTAATGTTGTTAGGGACAGGACTTGTGTCTATTCATCTTTGTACTCCACCCAGTACCTAGTAACCTTGCACAGAGTAGGCAATCACTAAACGTTTATGGAATGCTCAAGTATAAAAATGACTTGATACATTTATAAAGATAAAGGAAAGAAAAAATTAAATTCACAAGAGATAGAAATTATTAGTTAAAGAATAAAGTAAAATTTTGAAAAGTTATACCTACTGAAAAGTTAGGAAACAAGCCTAGGTCCTTTTTTTATAATGCTCAAAATAACATTAATATATTTGTAACAGATATGAGATGAAAGTTAATGCTTATTAAAAATGCTACTCAATGAAGCATATTTTTTTTACTTTATTTTTATTGTTTTATTTTGTTTGTGTCTTATTCTGTAACATGGCTAATATGGAAATGTGTTTTGCATGACTTCATATGTATAATGGATATCAAATTGCTTGCCTTCTCAAAAAGGGGGAAAGGATGTGAAGGAAAGAATCTGGAACTCAATTTTTTAAAAAAAATGAATGTTAAAAATATTTTGATAAATATCAAGGATGAAAAGAAAATGCTACTCAACAGGAAAATTCAGATCAGTCTTAAAACAGTTAAAAATACATAGAGGCAAGATGAGAAATTTGGAGAAATTTGGAAAAGTGAGAAGGAAATTTGATCACCCAAACCAATGTCAAAGTACCTCACCTTTTTCTGGTACCTTCTCAGTATATTTTTCAACTTTATTTTTTGATTGTCCTTTATTAGCAAAAATGGCTTCATTTTTCTTTGTTTTTACTTCTACTTTCACCTTGGAACACTGCAATGTATTTATCTGATGAAGTTCTTTGGAATCCCCCAAACCAATTACTGATGACTTGTGTTTAACTATTTCCTGGAGTTGATTCTTTGACTTATTTGATGATGCTATATCTTTTTTTATAATGGATTTCTGTGCTGTATGCTTATTAATGTTCAACATATCTTTTGAAGACTTTTCATTTCTTGAATTCTGACTTCCTTTTGCTTCTTTAACATGCTTTCCTACTTTCTTCAAATCAGCAGATACCTCTAATTCATTATGTCTGTTTTTATTCTCTTGAGAAAAAGAAACATCTTTATTATTTTTGCTATTTTCCAAAGATATATGTTTAGATTTAGTACATTCTTCTCTTTTGTAACTATCTGTGATATTTTTTTGTTCCTGCGTGAATTTATTTCCAAAGTTATTCTTCTGATTTCCATTCATTTCTTTCAATTTTGCCTCCTTCAAATGTTTCTTACCATCCATTGAGTTTTTAAGCCCAACTTTTGTATTTCTGTCCACACTCACTGGTTCTTGACATATGTCCTGATTAAGCTCTGACACCCCATTTTCAATGAAGTCTGCTTTCAAAAGAAAATCACCAGCATTATTAGTTTCTTTATATTTTGGTTGGTTTTGTTGTTTATCTTTAACATGTCCTAATAATCTTTCCTGATGCAGATCTTGATCTTTCTTGGGAGAAACTGAAGAACTACAAAACTGTGTTTGTTTTGTTTTATGTTCTAACACAGGTGCTGTTTTCTGGAAATTGTTATCTATTGAGCTCTGCGGTACTATGGCATTTTCTTCCTTAGGAAGGATAACTGTATCATCTGTTTGAAAAGTATCATCTTCGGTGCAAAAGCCATTTATCATACTTGTTACCTGTTCAGCAACTGAGTCAGTTAGGCTATAACTGACCTCTCCAACAGCACTGGTCAGATCTCCTACAGCACAGCTCAGATCTTCTACTGCACTACTAATTGTGTCAACCAGAGAAGACACTGAAGGTAGAGTTTGCTGAAAATTTTTGAAAAATGCCATTTTCTAGCTCTGTCTTAAAAGATCCAATAAAGTTTTTTGTCTTGCTCAATGAAAACAGTAGCCACTTTTGTGCAATTAAAAATTTTACATTTACTTAATTGTTGATTTTCATCAGTTTGGCAGGGACTGTGGCATCATATTTTAGTTTTAATCTTCTAGGAAATTCCTTTTGAATCAAGAAACAATATGATGAAGTTGGAATTGTCCCTAAAAAGTTGAATCACTTGCATTAAATACAATTTTCCCCATTCCATATCTATTACAAGAACAATAATGCAATAATTCTCCCTAAAATAATACATTTTATTTTATATCAGGAAAGAATTGTAAAATTACTTTTATTATACATTTTCAATTTGGTTCAATCTATACTCTGATGATCTGCTATATGTTGCTAAAAGGCTTCCTGTATCTTTTCAAAGTAGAGAAGAAATTAAGAGGAAAATTTAGTTAACTTTTCACTTAAAAGAAAATAGTTCTTTCATAAAAAAGGTCACTAAGTGGCTGCTAAAATGAGATTATCTCATATCCTAGACCTCAATTTTTTCTAGTTAAATTGTTGGTGATGGTCGGACATAGGACTGGTTTTATGTATAAGTCAGACTGATCCTAATCAGATCTTAAAATCTTCCTGCCTTTCATGTCACAGCATGGAATTTGGCAACTAATAGATTTCTTTTAAATCAAAGGAATGAGATGGGACCAACAATTTCTCTATTTTTCAAAAGCAAGAAAATCAACCTCTTTTCCAAAGAACATTTTCCCCTCTAGCTGTGACCCTTCAAAATCATTCTCAACTGATTAACACGTAGTAATGACTCAGCCTTAAACTCAGGATGTGCAGAAGTGATTAATGAGTTTCTGATACTCACATCAGATAGACTATAACAGAGCGAATAAATAAATTCCATCAATATATAAGTAATTCCTAGAATAAAGGTTCTAAAGTAAGAACAATGTCTTTTGTATGTTTTGTTAATATTCTAGCAAACTGTGCTATTTAATAAATTTCAAATAATAGTACAGTTATGTATGCCTAATTACTAAGGGAAGAGGGAAGACTACTGCTCTCAAAAAT